GTAGAGTATCCTGCGATAAAGAGGTGACGTGATGAGGATGATCCTGAGAGCGTATCCGGGCGGGATGGGATGCGCCTCAGGCCAGCGGCTGCATTAAAGCACATAGGTTGTGGGACACATTGATTTTATTTTATTATTTTTTTGTACGTTATGTAAATATTATTTTATGTGAATAATAACAATAATTTTTTATGTTTACATAATATGCCCATTATGTTTTTATTTCCCCATTTCTTCTTTATTTTAACACTACAATACAAACACAAACATAGCAACTTAACATAATTTAAATTCAGTACAACTAATGAAAACACATGACACAGGAAACATAAAGATAAAGTACTACACTCAACACATACATGTCATTTTTTAGTCACCACCGCCTATTATTCTCTGCTCCAACCACTTAAATTTCTTTTCCAGCTTTTTTTTTCTTCCTCCACCTCTTTTAGTTTCTACTTCAACTCCACAATTTCTCGTTCATATTTCCACTGTTTTTTGGTCAAATCATGAAGATACTGCAAAGATCGTTTGTGGCATTCCTGCTCACAGGGTTCATCAAGCCATATTTCAAAATTTCAAAAATTTCCGTTGTTGCCTCCAAACTTGTTCACACACATCCAATATATGTGCCCAACTTGACTATCATTCGAACAGTCCGCCATCATACAGCATTTGGCACATTGGTACATACATGCGTTCAGACATTTGTTAAAGCGGAAAAAAACCCTGCTTTTATGGAAAGTTTTGCTATTTGTTATGGTTAAGCGCAGAAAATAACTAGAATGCGCCCGTTATTTATAGGAAAGACAACACACATAATGTAGTATTTAACTACGCTATATATATTCACACAAAACATAGTATTTAACCGCGCTATATATATTCACACAAAATATAGTATTTAACCGTGCTATGCTTCGCGTGTTAAAGATTCTTTCTGATACAAAACAGTTTTTTCGTAGTCGGACAGCTTTTCAGATCGACAAGGCAACACACATAACGTAATATTTAACTGCGCTATATATATTCACAAAAAAATGTAGTATATAACCGCGTTATGCTTCGCGTGTTAAAGATTCTTTCTGATACAAAATAGCTTTTTCGCAGTCGGGCAGCTTTTCAGATCGACAAGACAACACACATAACGTAGTATTTAACTGCGCTTTATATATTCACTTATTTATCAAACATATTCCTCCTCTGACAGTGTAGTTTTCTAATAAATTTAGAGTGATACTCGAAAGTGAACGTAAAAATTTTCCGTTTTTTAATCCAATACTAATTTTGATTACATGAACGGGAGGGAGAAATTTATTAATTTACTCAACTAAAAAATATTAAATATCAATAAGATTTAACAACAATGGAAACATAATTTTATTTGATAAATCTTGCAACATAAACAAGTACATACACTTATTACAAAAAACATTACGGAAACAAAATACTACGTGTATCCTTGATAGTTGGGCATATTAGATGAACTTGTACCAAGAGCTGGATTACCACTGCCACCTAAACTAGTTGAAGGACATTTACGCCAGTCTTGTCCTGTTTGCGAGCATATGCCACATTTACGCGCATAAACAGTATCACCAGCATCCATTTGGTTCCGTATACGCGTTCTTTTTATACTTGTAGTTTACGCAAATAGTCCTTGTTACACATCATTTTAAATTGTTCCTGCAGCCAATAATACTCAGCATCCACTGGCTGCAACTGCCCACTATATGTGTTTAAGTATGTAGCAACACTGTATTGCCTATCAACATAGTTAGTTGGCCCTAAACCTTTATGTTGAAAGTATTTCATGGTATGTGAGCACGGCATGTGGTAGATGGACCATTTCCCACAAGAACACAACCTACTGGCTTCATTTATAGTGTGTATATTATTCCTCCGGTGTTGGTGGATAGCGGTGCGAACTTAAAAAATACCCCAGTCGTGATCATACTGTAAAAATGAATGCCAATGTGCTCGCCTCATGTATTTCTCAAATCTTTTCATTAGTATTGGCATAAATTCAACACCCTTGTCCATCAATTCTGATGCTCCTCTATGCCTTTCAACAAACCTCTCCGCCATCTGTTTGAATGCCATCTGGACCATGGCAGTGACAGGCAATCTACGTACAGACTTCAATAACCTGTTGAAAGATTCTGACACATTTGTAGTCAGGGTTCCCCATCGTTTGCCACCATCTGCATGCAATGTCCACTTGTGAAGCTCATGTCGCATCAACCAATGATAGGCTCTTTCGTCTAACTACCGGATCGATTCCATGCGCCTCCTGAATTTGCGCTACTGGTGATTAGTTGCAACCATCCACATTAAATCATGCAAGTCCTTGTTGGGATATTTATTCTGAAAATTGGCTTTCAGGTGCCTCACACTATAACAGTGGTATGCATAGGGTTCCTGTCATTCAGGCAAATGCTCTACAGAACTTAATATACCACCATGCCGATCAGATATTAGACAAATACCTGAATGTTGTTTGATAATGTGTTGTTTCAAGTGATTCAAAAATAGTGTCCACGTCTCTTGGCTTTCATTGGCACAGATGGCAAAAGCTAGTGGAAATATTTATCCCTTGGCATCTACTGCAACGATGATCAATAGCTTAATATCATACTTTCCATAGACATGAGTACCGTCTATGGAAATTACCGGACGGCAATGCACAAAACCATCAATTGCTAGTTTAAATGGCCAGAACACATATCTGAATATATATTCCGGTATTCCTGCACTCCGCTCAAGATTCCATTCAACAACAGTCTCGGGGTTAAAGTGTTTCAATACGGCCATGTACCTGGGTAGAGATGCAAATGACTTATCCCAGTCACCATAAACAATTTCAAATGCACGTTTGCGCCTGAAATATGCCTTTCTTTTAGTAATAGTACACTCATATTCCCGGTGGACGGATGTAATACACTCTTTGATCTTTTACCTTATGGACACTTCAATGTATGGAATCAGTTGAACAGAAATCAAGTCAACGCCCAAGTTGAAGTGATTTCATTGAATCTGTCCATTTCACAAATGTTTCACAAATGTGGGTGCCAATATATTTACCCACTTTCCACATTCTTGTTTCCTTCTTGGCCGCACGTAGCATCCAGTGACAAATAGTAAACCATCTACGGCAAACAACCTTGTATACATCCGTACTTGACTCCCAAACCATCATCTCACGACACTCACTTATGTTGTACATTTTACAAGCCCTAGTTAGGCGAGCTTTATTAGGAAAAATCATGCCCTTTGCCAGCACTATTGGTCTAGACTCATCCCACATTGCTGTCTGAATTTCGTCAAGACCCCTTGTGAGAGCATCCACATCCGGCATACTTGGCAAATTATCAAGATAGGGAATATGCCTTGAATGAAACAACACGTGGGACTCGTACACTCTTGGTCTAATGGGAGGTGGAGTATGCTCCCTCGTCAGCTCAGGTTCGATATTCTCTTCCTCCTCATCATCACCCTCGTCAGGAAAAGGTGTGTCATCTCCAGACTCATCAGCATTGTTGTTATAATCATTATTATCTTCCTGACCTGGCGTATCTGCCAAATCCCGAGTAAATACATCATCTACGGGCAACTGAGCAAGGTCAGGACCATCAAGTTGCTTTTTTTCACTGCACAAACAACAACATAATAAGCCACTCAAATTGATAAATACTTTACATATAGCTATATCACTTCACTTACAAGTCGTAATGTGTTGACATTCCATTATGGACATTATCTTGTTGGTGAAGACTCCCTGATGGACCACCGTAATCCAACACACTAAAAATATGCATATTCCAACTAGGCGTGGGTTCATAACTTGTAAAATTCATATCTGGACGGTACCCTCTGTGGAATATATGAGTGTTAATACAAATTCAATACAACAAAATAAACATCGTAACACAAAGGAAAATTGAAGTTTACCAGTCGTCTTGTAGATTATGTAAAGTAGGAGAGAAATTATTTCCTCACTCCTCGCTCGTCTATGGAGATAAGTTTAGATCCGGCCAAACTATTTCAGCCAGAACCTGTTGGGCTAAAACTGCTCTAAAATATCCACCCGATGATTGAGGGTTATCCCTGCATTGCACAATATCATTATTGCGAACGTATTCAACCTTCACGTACATTTCCAACATTTTTATCAAAATAAGTTCTTGGTATTCATCCAGAGTCCCCAAAAAATCTCTCAGAGTTTCGTCATCCTCGATGTTAAACTCCGCATAACAAGCAACCCCTTGCGGAGTCACAGAATACAGATATCTTCCAATTATTTTAAGATTCACCGAACGTTTGCTCAACCTCATTTTATTGCATAACAACGATATCAGTTTATCGTACTCCATTGTAAGTGGCAACTTAACATGACTCTGTGGAGATAAACTATAGCTCACTGAATTATTCGCCACAATAACCTCACCCCCTCCTCCCAATATAATGAAACCCTTACTTTTCGCTCTTCAGATATTATGATAAAAGCTTGAGAATTTAACAACAAGAAAAATTTATCACAAAGTTGGAGTATTTCTGAATGATTTTTCTCAAAACCCTTAACGCCTTTAAATAAGGCAATGCCCAATCCGGGGGGTTCAAATTTTTGAAAGTAAAACACAATTTAAAAGCGCGTTTTACAAATTTGAATTATTGTTATATCAGTTAAGCGTAGAAGAGTTATTGGTGGGCTCACAGAACATGTAAAGCACAAAAGTACAGAAACATTAGCATNAGCAATACTTCCCTATACTTTTTCATCCGAAACCGCAGCCTCTCTAATCTCCATACATACATACATACATACATACATACATACATACGCGTTATTTAAACGTCATTTTCCATCCTCTCAATTCCCAGCTAATTGCTTTCTTCAATTCCCTTCTTCGATCCTTCTTCCTTCCCTCTCTCAAACTCTACTTTCCACAACTATATATATATATATATGTGTGTGTCCCAATCTCAAACACAAATCACAAACATCTCTTGCTTCATTTCTTCAAATTAAAGCACAAAAATGTCATTTTCCTTTGCTTCCTCAAGAATTTCTATAATGTTTCTACAGCTCTCTATTCTTGCAGTTTTACTCCTATACCCTGCTTGTGCTGATAAATTTTACCAAGATGCGACCGTCACTTGGGGTGACGAGCAGGCTCAGATACAAGAAGGTGGTCCCTTCTCACCTTGTCCCTTGACAAAATTTCAGGTTCCGGCTTTTAATCCAAGAATGAGTTTTTATTCGGAAGGTTCGACATGCAGCTGAAACTAGAACGTGGAAATTCTGCTGGCACTGTCACCACCTTCTACGTAAGTATATATAATGAAACAGAGTTTTACATTACTTCTCAACTAGTATTATGGAACATACTTGATTGAAGTTATTAACAAGTAAAAATATTGGCTTGTGTAATCTGCAGTTGTCATCTCAAGGAGCAGGGCACGACGAAATTGATTTCAAGTTTCTAGGAAATTCATCTGGCCAGCCTTACACAGTTCACACCAACGTTTATTCTCAAGGAAAAGGCAATAAAGAACAACAGTTTCACCTCTGGTTTGATCCAACCACATCATTTCACACCTACTCTATTGTTTGGAACTCTCAACGCATCATGTACGTTACAAATTAAACTTCCTTCTTAATACAAAACATACTTCACTAGATAACAATTTTTACTCATCGTACTATTCATGTCTGACATTTGGGGATTAGTTTGTCTAATTGTCCAGATTTTTGGAATGCTGATGACTGGGCACACAAGGCGGGCGAGTGAAAACGGATTGGTCCATGGCTCCATTCACAGCTTCTTACAGGAATTTTAATACAAATGCATGTGTTTGGTCAGCTGCATCATCTACTTCGTCTTGCGGAGGCTCTAAATCCGCCGATTTAGTGAGTAATGATCAAGCATGGGAAACTCAAGAACTGGACAGTAACGGCAGAAATAGGCTTAGATGGGTGCAGCAGAAGTACATGACATACAATTACTGTGCAGATACTCAAAGGTTCTCTCAAGGCATTCCTCCTGAATGCAAGCGTTCTAGGTTCTGAGAATTAAGTAGTTCAAATCGTCTATAACTTTTCCGGTGTTTGTTTCATTCTTTAATTGTTACTATGTGATATCAGGAAAAAAGAACAGCGGTGTAATTATTTGTGTGAGCAGATTAAATTCTTTATTCTTTTTGTAATCGTGAAACAGAAATTGCAATAATGAATCACTTTTCCACCAGGCCTGCCCATCTTTGCGTGTTAGTTTCCTACTTCAGGCCAGTTAAAAACCTTATTTTCGCGCTTATTCATTGTAGAATTCATCATAATTTACCCTGGCTATTAGGCTACTGGAATCGATAAAAATAAAGAAACTCACATTGTTTCCAGAACTACTACTATTACCTGGCCATTCATTTTAACACCAACATAATACTTGCTGTTAACATACTAAATGGCGTCAAAGAATGTGTTTTAAGGGCATAGCTTTTCCAGTTTTTGAATTGAATTTGGTGTAATAACAGATTAGAAACCGACATTTAAATTGTGCATCAGATATCTGAAGAAGAGGACAAGAAAGAAAGGAGAAACCAAACAAAATAGACCAATAAGACAATCAGAACACCCACTAGTCATCGATAATAACCACCAGCCAATAGTTACCAATGACTACTTTCAGGAAGCAAACAAAGAATTGAAAAGCAGACCAACTTTTTTATGACATGTCATTAGAGGGATCAGTTTCTTTAGAAGTGAAGTATACAAACCCACCTCTAAGTATTCCGAACATCATAGTGACTCCTTACTATGTCAACTACATTCTAATAACTTCGCTAGTATCACTAATTAAAAAAGCTCTTGATTCTTCCTACTTCTAACTCAAGGCAACTATGACTTTCTCACAGTTATCATCGGGAATAACAAACCAGCCATAGTTTAATTCAAGAAAAGGCTTCCCCACCTAAGGATTTGCTCTTTACCACTACTAGATGTCATGCAGCAAATACAGAACAATTTGAAACCCTTCTCCAACTTTGAATAGTCAAAAACTCTAGCGCTGACAGTATATTTTTCCTCCAAGCTTTTATCTAGCCATGTCTAGCTCATATGTCAAACATCCTTACCAACTCATAAACTTAAGATTAACTGATCTTCACATAAAAAGGTTTAACAATAACTCAAATTTTGAAACAAATCCTTAAATCTTAATCAGAAAGTATATTATGCCCCTCAACCATCAACCTTCACATATTTGCTGCCTTGCTTCATAGATAGGCGGATGCAACATAGAGTTATACTGGGTTCAACTGAACCCAGTACTTTCGGCGCACAACATAATTTTATATGTAATAATCACTAAAATTGTAATAAATAGTATATATGAACCCATAACTTTAAAAATATAATGGGTCCAATGCTAAAAACTTTAAATATTGAATCCACAGAATTAAAATCTTAAATCCGCCTCTGTTCATAGAGCATATATCTGTTTTAGAATCTGTATTTTAGTAGTTGATGATGCTCTTCATTTTCAGTCATATTTCTCGCATGAGATACCAATGCTAGAATGAATTGAAGAGCAAAAACTACTCAGACAGTACGCTTGTTGAAAGTAATAAACCAAATTATCCTTTTGCAGTATCACACACCGGCAAGCTAATTGAGTGTTGATTCTCAATTGAATTAAATATCAAAATTCAGAAAAGATAAAACAGAGTAGCTTTAATATGCAAACTAAATTTTCTGCTCTATATCCTACCATGGGTATTTTCAACATAATACAAAGATTGACAACCTTCGCGGACCAATGGCTTCATTCCCTACTTAAGTAACAATGTACTTACAAGATCAGGGTTCACATGTTCCACGGAAAGTAAAGGAACAGTAAATTCAACCAGGTTTAGCCGTTGAACACCTCAAAATGTTTGAAGCAAGCTTTAATCCTACATATCTACTTGTCCTGCAGAAGTAGAAACCAAATAAAGGAACGGCATCAGGTCAAAACACTAGGAATATGAGAGTTGAGAAAGGAACACTTCATTTTCAAAACATATAGATACATTTGATCAAGTATCCAGAATGTACTGGCCTCCAATCTAGTGCAGGATAAACTATCTGCGGTATAACTAGTGCATAGCCTCACATTTAACTAGGCCAAAATCACTCACCAGTTTTCCAGGTTCCTCCTACCGAAAAGCCAACGATAATCTTACATGATATTTGAGACCAAACAAAAATATGAAATGCTGCAATTTTCCTTTGGTTTAGGTTCTATCTAAGACACCTAGGACCTAGAACCATTCCCCTTGTGATGCCATGACGGAGGGCGGGTCAAGCAGAACTGGCAGGATTCTAGGATGACAAGCTTCTGAAAAAGGTGTGCACATGCCACCTTAAGCGAATCCCACATCGGAATGAGAGAGGAAAGTGAAGAGCTTTAAAAGGCATAACACAAGTTCAAATTGTACACGCACCTTTGGGGCTCGATCTGGCGTAGCCCGAAAGACAAATTCGTTCGGACCTAGGTCCAAAGCAGACAATACGTGCCACGGGCTTGGGTCGTGACACCCCAGCAGATCATTATTTTCCTATTCAAGATGGATAAAAAAGGAAGAAAAGAAAAAGAAATCTCCAGTAGACAAGATATGCTTTGAGAATAACTCCCAAGCATTTCTTCTACATGATACATCTACTCGCACCAGCGTTTTCCACTTCTCCGCTCTAAAATAGATCGAGAAGAAGAAAATAAAACAGGAATCTCCAGTTTACTATTTATGCTCTGGAAAGGATCTCTCAACAATCTCAATATTATGAAATAAGTGTAGATAAAGTTAACTTTGTGAAGAATCTGGACAATTTCTTTGTGCGGAAAAGTAATCTTGGCTAGAATATTGAAAATGTTGAATTGTTCATGGAGTAAATTTCCTTTTTGGGAAGTGGGGAAGATTCTATCCAGAACAGAAACAATTTAATTTGGAATATACAGAGTACTTCTAGTCCAACACAACTGCAGTTTCGCCTCTTCTTTTGCCTCGTTGGTTCACTATTACCTTGGCTTAACACCTATACTTGCATCGGATTTTATATCAGGCCCTGCAACTCCCAACTTTCCCATTTTACAACCTCTGATTGCTCAAAATACACACAATAAGCACCTCTACAGGATTGAGCCAAGTTGGGCACAGGTGGATAACACATTACACATAACAAATCTTCTCTGCCTATATGCTAGTGACTTCAAGTATAACAGTAGATAATGGGTTAAATAAGGAATTCTAATTGGAAAAGCGCACAGAACATGAGAAAATCCATGTTGAAACATGACAGAAGATCATCAAATTTCCATTCAGAAAAATACTATCAAAAAATCAGCAAGATGACCAAAGGAAAACAAATTTTGAACCGTTTGTTATGGAGGAAAATGTTTTCCACTGGAAAATATACATATAGTACCATTTTCTCCATCGTTGTACAAGTAGAATAATGTAAAGATACTGTTTTTAGCTCTGATTCTGTGGGACTAAATTAAAACAAGCAAGTGATATAAAGAAGGAATTACTTTGAATTTTCCATTTTGGTGGAAAATACATATGCTTAACTGACTCTGTCCATTTTCAGAAGTTTAAGAAAGAACAAATAGAAGAGACCCAAATGAAAGCTTGCTAAGTAGAATTACAAGAAAAGCACACTAGTAGTTTTGTTACCTTGAGGGAAGAAAAAACCAGCTACGGAGAAAATGTAGCAGTAATGCCATGGCCATAAACTTGAGTAGGTAAGAACCCTAATTAGTGTCAATGGTTTTCCACAGTTAAGGAGAAAGACAAAGAGTAAAGAAAAAATTGCATTCAAAAGGATTTTCTGTCACAACCCCTTTTATATAACACACACCATCAGAGGAGAAAGCTCTGTTCTTTGTCTTCTTCTTTTATAGCCAGTCCCTAACACTACACTCTCTCATCTCATGTCCCAATATTTTCTCATGTTTCTGTGGGTTTAAGAAGGGGTTTCGCACAGGTGCACGAATTACTATGAAGAGAAAGCCATGTTGATGTGCACGGGTTGGCGCTTTGCTTTTACGATTTACAGTGCAACTGGTTCAAATTACTCCAAGGCTTTTTTCAAAGTTCCAACTCAAGATCTATATGTACTAATTATCATCATCTCGCTCCAGTTTATTTTCTTTTATAAAACCACCTACTAATCTTTTCCGATGGTTACTTGTTTTTAAGGCAAATGTGGATTTTGTACTTTTAATCAATATAATGATAACGGTATCCACTATTTATTTGAGTATTAATTGTATATTGTAGCTCGTATTGCATGGGTCAAAATCTAATCGAAGAGACCTCGCCTGAAATAGGGAAATCAAGAATCAATTAGACCGAGGTCACGCTTAGGAAGCAACATTGGCAAGTCGAGCAGTGAATGCCGAGGTTGAGCACTCAAATGAGGAGTGCCTATCCCTATTTATAAGAATATGGTCAGCCCAAATGCCGCCTCATTAATTTCGAAACGGAAGAGGCGTGTGAAACAATGTAACGTATGGGGAACATGCGCCATAATGACACACGATGAAATGATGTCATTTCAAACTGATGTAACGGTCAGGTGTGGCTCTTTAAGCGCCACGTCACCACCTCACCATAAAAAGGTCACTCCTCGGCCAATGTGCTCAGATTTCTCAAAATTATAACTGGCGAAGTCCGCCCACCGAGCTCGCCCAAAAGCAACTCCGGTGAGTGGAGGTACTAACTGTATGAGTCAAAATCTAATCGAATAGACCTCGCCGGAAATAGGGAAATCAAGAATCAATTAGGCCGAGGTCACGCTTAAGAAGCAACATTGGCAAATCGAGCAGTGAATGACGAGGTCGAGCACTCAGATTGGCCAAAACGGCTAGTTTAGCAGTAAGATATTTCTAAAAAATATTCGGAGGAATATTCTCTGTATTTGTACTTTCATTAGGTAAGGGGAATGTCCCATATAAGTAGGAGGTGAGAGAGAAAGAGGGAGATCTGATTATCTATCTTGATAAGTTCTTTCTAGAAAAGTTGACTCCCACATAACTGCAAATATTATCTTTATACAAGATTCAATTTGTTGTGTTATTCCAAGCAAACCCACACTAGATCCGATAAAGTGTTTGATGTTCACACATTTGGCTATCTTACATCACTGTCAGAAAGAGGATCATCCACCTTGTTACACATTTGGGTGAATTATTCTCTTTCTTTACAGCTATTGTCATTCATCATATTTATTGTTTGTCTTCATTCCTTTATTTATTCACAAGAATATCATTAAACTACCTTTTGGCTTTAAATAGCTTTAAATGCGATTTATAGATTTTTACTTCCCACCAATCTTGGATCTAGAACTTATTATATTTAACTAGAATTTACCTATTATCATTCATTTAATTAGTTTAACAAAAAGATTTAAGACTTTTGGTCAAACAATTTGGCGTCGTCTGTGGGAATTTTCTAGTTAAAAGTTTTATTTTTTTCTAAATCTAAAAAAACACAAAACTCTACACAGTCTCGTATCTCGTTGTTTGCACAGATCTGATATGGCAGGCAATGAGAAGAAAAGAGAAAGGCGATAGCCGATCTCACCGCCAATCTCCTAAATACTATCGACGGAGTTCACGGAGAGGACGAGGAGAACGTGACACCAAATGCCTCACCCAGGCGAAGTGATTCACCCCCTCCTCATGGCAGCGTTACCGCTTCTCATGGAAAGGGAGCCTCTATGTCCACTACGGAAGAAGCACCACTAGCAGTAAAAAAGCTACTAGAAGCATGGCTAACGAATACACTGAATAGCATACTAGACAAACCCGCTCAGAGGGCGAGCAGAGAGAGTGTGCGAGTCAACATCGCCACAACAACCAATGAGAAACACACCCAACCTCCCACAACAGGTACCACTCACCCTGTTAATGATGCAGGTAATGATGCCCTCACATCCATTTTTAGAAAAATGGAAGAGATGGAGAACGAGAATAAAGGACTCCCGACCAAATGAAGGAGCATCAAGAAAGGGTAGATAAGATACCGGGCGCCCCAAAACTCCTACCAAAATGGGACGTCGGTCGGTTCGTGGAGCAACCATATAGCAATGAGGCCACACCACATGCTATACCAAAAACTTTCAAAATGCCACCATATTTGAAAATATATGACGGCACGATGGACCCGGAGGATCATGTGACCCATTATGTTACTGCAGTGAAAGGAAACGACCTCGCAAAAGAGCAAGTATCGCCCATATTGCTAAAGAATTTAGGAGAGACCCTAACCAGCGGGGCCCTGACTTAGTACTTGCAGTTATCTACACGCTCTATAGAAACGTTCGAAGAACTGGCCGACAAGTTCGGCACCGCCAATGCCGGGGCCAAGAAAGCGGAGGCAAGGATGAACAATATATTCGCCATCAAGTAATCTCTTGGCGAGGGACTCAGGGATTTTCTTGCCCGGTTCAACCGTGTAAGAATGACCCTTTCGAACGTATTTGAAGGAATAGCGGTGGCCGCTTTTCAGAATGGGCTGAGCAGAAGTGGGTCGACGGCGACCAAAAAACTACTAAGTCGACTCATGAAATACCCTCCAACCACTTAGGACGAGATACACAATGTCTACTGTGCCGAGGTAAGAGCAGACTAGGATGATCTCAACGGGCCTACTCAATGCCTGACTTCGGTCCAAATGGAATCTAGGAAAGACTAAAGAAACAACAACAGAAGAGATCTAGCAGGGTCACGACCTAATAAAGAAAGACACCAGCCTTATGTCAGAGGCACCCTCATGCCACCTCCACGTCACAACGAAGGTCCATCCAAACCACAAACAGGAACCCACCGAAATGAAAGAGGTATGCCCCCTTGTTATAAGCTCACAATTTTTGTGTTTCCCCCTCAGAAATAGTCTACACATTAGAAAAGCTCGGCCCAAAGGTAAAATGGCCGCAGAAAATGAAGTCCAACCCAAGCACCAGAAAATCAAACACCCTCTACAAATTCCACCAGCAACGAGGTCACAAGACCGAGGACTGTATCGCCATCGGACTAGAAGTCATGAACATGATTCACCAAGGGCACATAAAAGAGTTGATGAGCGATCGAGGAAGGGCCAACTTTACACGAGGGCGAGAACAACATTAGGGGCAGCCCAAACCACCTTCCCCAGTTCGAACCATTCAAATGATCATCGGGGGAGGCGACGACGCATCTATCAACATCGTGAAGTTCACCACCACTCACAAGCTCAAGCGGTCAATCACCCACGAACGGTATGATGCCCTAGTCATTATTTTACGTGTTTTTGATACTGATGTAAGAAGTATTATGGTTGATGATGGAAGCGGCACGTGTATCATCCATCCTCGAGTTCTCACCCAAATGAAGCTTGAGGACAAAATAGTGCCACGTTGCATCACGCTAATAGGTTTTTACAATGCAGTTGAGCAGACATCTAGAGAAATCACGGCGGCATTACCTTGGAGACCACGTTCCACATCATGGACTAGGATACGACGTACAACGCCATCATAGGCCGATCGTGGATACACAGCATGAAAGTTGTCCCCTCCAGTTTGTACCAAGTCATTAAATTTCCCACCCCTTGGGGAGTATTCAGCATCTAGGGAGAGCAACGCACGACCCGAGAATGCTACTGCATCGCCCAAGATTGTAGATACACCTAACAGTTGAAAGAAAAAGCCGAGGAAGCATAGCAATTAACAAAGATGGGGTGGGATGGCGAGGAAACAAAAGACGCCATCCACGCCCCTGAAATCATAGAAGCCACGGGGTCAATCGTAGAGGACCTCGACCCCTTCCAATTAAACGAAGACAACCCCAGCAAAAAAGCTTTCATCGGCCATAAACTCCAAGATCCAGGTAAATTTCATCAATTCTTAAAAAATAATGTGGACCTTTTCGATTTTTCTCATGCAGACGTGCCAGGTATCCCAAGGGAAATAGCAACTCACAAGTTGAACGTCGACCCATTTTACCCCTCAATAAGACAAATCAGACGAAAGTTCAACTCGACAATAAATGATGTAGTTTGTGAAGAGGTTGAGAAATTACTAATGAACAGTTCTATTAGAGAATCAAAGTACCCTCAGTGGGTCGCCAACATAGTCATGGTGAAAAAGAAGAACGGTAAGTGGAGAATGTGCGTGGACTTCACCGACCTGAACAAAGTCTGTCCAAAAGACTCATTCTTGCTACCTCACATCGACCAACTCATCGACGCTACAGCCGGGCACGAACTGCTAAGTTTCTTGGACGCCTACTCGGGCTACAAACAAATCCTCATGGAGGAGGAGGATCAGGAAAAAACCACCTTCATCACCCACCAAGGAACGTACTACTACAGAGTGATGTTGTTAGGGTTACAAAATGCGGGGGCAACATACCAGAGGCTGGTGACTGATTGAGGCTAACCCTGCGCCACTATAAAGTAGCGAGAGTGGTCGAAACAGCTTTTACCCGAAATAGTCGGGATCGAATTCCACATGGAGCTAGAAATGGGAATTGGGCTCCTATCTAAACTAGAGATGCGTAATTGCTCTTAATTGCTCTTCCAAACATCATTAGTCTTTTGATTACTTCCAATATTATGTTAATAAGATGCTAAATTAAGCTAAGAGTAAGATACTTGAAAGGTTTTCTAAATAGTTAAGGAGGCACTAGGGAAGTGACTTTCTCCTAGGTGGATACTTGACGGGTTCTCGAGTCTAAGGCTAGGTTGTCATATTGGGGATTACGATATAACCAATGCACGAAACTTCTCACTCTATACCTCTCGGTAGTTTGAGTGATTTTGCCCTAATTGACTTTCTCAAGACCAATTGGGTATGATAATTTGTGCAAGCAATTGAGGTTCAAGTTGGGTATTACTATCTCTAGGTTTAACCCTTTAATTGGGGCTATCAATCTCTTGAATACGCCCTAATTCCTTGTTGGACTAATTTTTTTAGACTCAAGCTCTCATTCTCAAGAAGAGTCCAAGACAAAAAGGCACAATTAGTGTTTGCAACCACTAATTCAACATGAAAAACAAAATTAGTCCAAATATCAAACACCCATAGACATTCAAGCCTTAAAACTCAAGACCCATCAAATA